AAGTTGACTTGACATCTTGTTATCGCCAGAATAGGTCTGGTTTGGGTTAGTCCCATAGTGACAGCTGCTTTTCTCCACGAACCTTTCTTCTCACCCACTTTTCTCTTTTTCTTGTTGATAGTTTCATCTTAGGTTGTCAATGGAGAGGGCACTCTTCCACTGTCGCACCTGGAGTTGCTTTGTCCGTGCCCCTGGGCTAGGGTGACCAGACATCCTGCTTTTGGCAGGATAGTCCCGTGGCATTTTTAAAAAGTCCCAATTTTTGGAAAGAATGCACGAACGGTCAGGAGAACAGGAAGAGAATATACGGTTTTTGGCTGCCATGTGGCTATTTCTCCAGAATATGAGTTTTATATTATTTTTGTTAATTTTATAATGTTAAACTGTAATAACAAATAATTGCTGAGAAGTGATTATGGAGAACTGCTTATCAAAGTTTGCATTGTTGTTAGGCCCTGCCCTGCCTTGTCCCCTGCCCCACCCTCGGGCCATGTTGTCCCTCTTTACAAATGTTAAAATCTGGTCACCCTACCCTGGGCCCAACCTGGAGAGACCATGGCAACTGCTTGTCTCAGGGCATGTAGGGTCCCTGGGGACCTGAGTTCAGCATGTGACGTGCCTCTTGAGGCTCTCATCTCCGTGACTCCTCACCAGCAATTCCTGGGTCCCCTCCCACAAATTCGTTTCCCACTGTCTGTTTTTGGGGAACCCAAATAAAGATGTCTGTGCTCAGCTCAGATCTCTGAGCACTTCCCTCATTAGTACTTTTCTGGGAGACACACAGTTAATCAGGAGCACTTCTCCTGGGGGTTCAGGACAAAGTTGTGGCTGTATTTTGACTCTTCTGTGGTCATTTATTTGGTGACAAGAATCAGGGCCAGCACCACCATCTCAGTAGAAAGGTTTAAGCTGAGAAACAGTCAAACCAGGCATGGTGCCAGGCATAGCAGCTCATGCCTATAGTCCCAGCACGTTGAGAGGCTGAGGATCAACTGAACCCAGGGAGTTGTGGCTATAGTGGCCTACGATCATGCCACTGCACTCCAGTCTGGGTGACAGGGCAAGACCCTGTCCAAAAAAACCCAAAGCAGAAAACCCAGGGATGGTGAATGCATAAAGAGCATGCATCATACCCCATTCCTCCTCCACAGAAGAGAGTACCCAGGGATCCCAGCCATCACAGCTGCAAGAGGAAGGCTCATTCCCTCAGCTCAGGGAGCATCCTCCCCACTTCCTGGGAACTGTTTTCGGAAGGCCCTTGTTGACTGGGTTCTGGTTGCTAGAACCAAGTGTTTTCCTCTGTTTGTTCCCCTGTGTGACCCCAAAATACCTGTCCTCTGGGTGATTAGGAAGCCATCAGTGCATGCCAGTGAAGCAAGGCTCTGGAACTCAGGAGAACATGCAGCCTCCAACCCTGGGTCTCCTTGGGCCCAGAAGGACCCGCTAGATTCACTGCCCCACTGACCCTACTCTGGCACCTATGGGCCCTCGGCCTTTCCACCCACAATTTATGGGAGCAAGCCTGAGGAATGTGCTGCTTGAGATCTGCAAAGACCTCTGTGGTCCCTCTGACCTCAACATGCTCCAGGCCCACACTGCTGTTTCAGCATGAGCGCTCCTCTAGTATTTACTGAGTCTTCAGGTTTTTCCTGCTTTTCTGTTAAAACTCCTTATGGTTCTAATTATTCTGGTTGGCTCCTTCTATCACAGACCTCCTCCAAAGACCCCGGGGTGAATTGGGGCTTGTCATTTTGATGTGTCACTATGATCACAATCTCAGCAGCTTTCCTGTTTAAAGAGAGAACATGAGACAAAATCCGTAAAAGCCATGTGGTGGCACTGGGGCTGAAGGGTGTCTGGCATGAAGAGGTCATAGATACTGATATTGCTGACTCCTTGGTGCCACAGATAGCCTAGAGTATACACAAGGCAGTGACCATTTGTCACACACTGGCTGTTCTGCTGGTGAGCATCTGTGTTAGAGAAGATGCAGCGCGATTGGAATTCACCGTCCTGCAGGGCCTTAGGCTAACTCTCTGTCCTAGCCTACTATTGCTGCCTTCTCCCCTCCCCCAAACCTTTATATGTACTGCAGGTGTCTTGCCCACATGGAATTTGTCCCCAAGTAGAATGAAAGTCATTCAGATTAGAAATATCTTGTCTCGTCCCTTCTCTTCTCTTCTCTTCTTTTCTCTTCTCTTCTCTTCTTTTCTCTTCAGTGGTATAATCACAACTCACCGCAGCCCCCAACTCCTGGGCTAAAGCAATCCTTCTGCCTCAGGCTCCCAAGAAGCTGGGATTGTAGGAGATAGGCCACCATGATGCCTCACTAGGTAAACACACACATGCACATAACCCCCTCCCCCAACACACACACACAGACACGTGCTTTTTTTTTTTTTTTTTTAAGAGATCAGGGTCTTTCTATGTTGGTCAACTTGGTCTCAAGCTCTCCTTTGGATAGGGTCTTGCCCTGTCACCCAGACTGGAGTGCAGTGGCACGTGGCACAATCATAGCTCACTGTAGCCACAATTCCCTGGGCTCAGTTGATCCTCAGCCTCTCAGCGTGCTGAGACTATAGGCGTGAGCTGCTGTGCCTGGCACCATGCCTGGTTTGACTGTTTCTCAGCTTAAACCTCCTCTCACTTTAACCTCCTGAAGTGCTGGGAGTATAGGTGGGAGCCACTGTGACTGGTCTTTTTTTTCTTTATTTTCTTAGTGATTCCTTCTCATTAAATATCTGGTAGCACTCACCAGCAAATATCCTCTACGACCAAGTCCCAAAAGATGGTTCTCCTGGGACCATCTTTTGAATGAACAAAGGGTGACTAAAGGAGAAAATAGACTTTTGAATGAACAAAAGGTGACTAAATGAGAAAGTGGACTTCCAATGTTCAAAGGGAGGAAAGGATGTCTTTCCTTTGATAAAGATTCTTGGCTTGGCCCAACCTTTGGATAAGCTCCCGAGGCCTACTGAGCCAATCTGTGCATTTCCATGTATAATGCAGGGCATGCAAAAAGCTCCTTAAGTCCTCTTAGCAAGAATAGCCTCAATATATAATGATCCCTCACCACACTCAGGTACTGTCTGATATCCCTCCTTGCCTTCTGTGAGGTGGGTTTGGCCAGAATCCCCTTACCCTTTGTGTTTCCTCTTAGTAACGTTCCATCCACAGTCCCCTACCTGCTCCTTGGCTGTAATTCCTGCTTGCCTTTGCTATATTTTTTGCAGGCCAAGGAATGCCAAAGATTGTCAGCAAACTACCAGAAGCTGGAAGAGTCAAGGAAGGATTCTGCTAAACATGATCCAGACCCTGCCAGCAACTTGATTTTGGAATTCTAGTCTCTAGAACAGTGAGGTAATCAATTTCTGTTTTAAGCCATCTAATCTTCAGTACTTTGTTATGGCCACCCTGGGAAACTAATACACTGGCTATCTCAGTACTAAAGATTGCATCTTTTCCCCCAACCCACCTTGCTGATCACATCAATATTCAGAAGATGATTATGTAGATGAGAAGGGATAGTAGAGAAGTCAGGACTTGGACCAGAGAAGGAGCCAAGGAAATGGGCATGGCAAGTGGAGGGCTAAATTGAAAGGTCAGAGGAGATGTGGCTATGAATGGCACAGTCAGCAGAGGCTACAGGGGAAATTGGTTTTATTTTGAGCATCCAAGTTTTCCTGAGCTCAGTCTCCAAACACTTGAGACATTTCATTCTGAGAGGCTTCCTCTCACTTCAGGAATGCGGATCACATCCAGAGTCCAGAATCAAAGGCTGAGCGTATCCTCTATGGGCAGCAATGTCTCCTTCACCACACCACATCCTGCTCAACTTTTTCTTCCAAGAGACCCTGAAGCACATTTAATGATGTTTCAGCTGGGGTGGGAATGGGAGGCCTGAGTCCTCATCCCCCCAGGAGGACATGAAGACTTGTTCATAATCTTGCAGGTAATGGTCACTCTGCTCTCCCTGACCTCAGTATGGTCTGAGACACACTGCGGATTTTAGTGAGAACTGAGCCATCACTTTATTTCTTTTAAAAGTCCCCTGTTAAAAGAAGAATGTATTTGCCTTGAGGTTTTTGTTTCTCAATAGAAACCGAGTGAGGATCTAGGAGGAAGGAGAGGCATTCCCTCCATGATTGGCCAGGGACACACCCATCCATGCACACAAATACATGCACATATGTGCAGGCACACGTGAATGCACATATACCCTTGCAACCCCCACACCCACACTGATAAACCTACCTGGAAACCCCTTTGCATACATGCATGACATCACACATGTACACATGCAGGCACACATGTGTTCTTGTCAAGCTTTCACTTTGGAGGCTACATGGCTGAGAGAAAACTAGGAGAAGAACCAGGAGATGTCAAGGGAGGAGTGTGGTGGCAGAAGGGAAGGGCACATTAGGACAAGAACCCACACTTCCCTGAAAAGCAGGGAATTCCCTTCCCTTCCCTTCCCTCAGGGGTTGGATTTTGTGGCTCTCAGAGCTGAGACTATGAGTTCCCTCTGGTCTTCCTCACACATCTCCCTTCAGGTATAAGAGCAGAGTAAAATACATGCTTGGGCTTCAGATTTCTATGCAGAAAAATTTATTAGAACAGGAGGGCAAAGATCCACCCCATAAAACAACCGTGGAGGGGATCAGTATGGCAAACAAGTCAGCACCCCATGAATACTGAAGGACATCTCACCACTGTTTTTTTCCTCATCTTTACTCGTAGAAGTAGAGGATTGTTTAATTAGTTATGCCTGCTCTTTACACTTTGGGGAACCCAAGGGGTCACTAGACTTTCTCTTAAGCCTTCTCTGAGCTAGAGTATAGAGGTGGGTTGTGGCCACATTTGTTTCTTGTGGTTGTGGAGATATAGTTTTATTACTAATGACTTCCTCACCCTTCTTCAAAATGGCAGACTTCTCTCCTGTGTGTGTTTTCTCACGTCTGTTGAGGTTTGACTTATGGATGAATATTTGCCCACAAGACCTATAGACATAGGGCTTCTCCCTTGTGTGTCCTCTGGTGTATGAGGAGGGTCGCCTTACGGCTAAATCCTTTCCCACACTCCCTGCAGACACAGGCCTTCTCCCCTGTGTGTGTCTTCTGGTGTGTGAGGAAGTTTGACTTTTGGCTAAATCGTTTACCACAGTCGCTGCAGATGTAGGGCTTCTCCCCTGTGTGTGTCCTGTGGTGTATGAGGAGGTTTTCCTTACGGGTAAATCCTTTCCCACACTCACTGCAGACATAGGCCTTCTCCCCTGTGTGTGTCTTCTGGTGTGTGCGGAGGTTTGACTTTTGGCTAAATCCTTTACCACAGTCACTGCAGACATAGGGTTTCTCCCCTGTGTGTATCCTCTGGTGTGCAAGGAGGTTCGATGTTTGGCGGAATTGTTGCCCACACTCCGTGCAGATGTAGGGCTTCTCCCCTGTGTGGATCCTCTGGTGTGTGAGGAGGTTTGATTTATACCTAAATCCATGCCCACACTGGCTGCAAACATAGGGCTTCTCCCCTGTGTGTGTCCTCTGATGTGTGTGGAGGTTTGATGTTTGGCTGAATTCTTGCCCACACTGTCCATTCGCAACTTTTACAATTCTTGAGATCTCTACCTTCACACATAATTTGCCGGTTTCCCCTGGACCCATGTTCTGGCCTGGTTCTACCATTCTCTCACTGTCCCTAGAGTTCCCCATTTGTCCTTCAGGTGTGTGGGAAGATATCCCTGAAATGCTGCTCTGTTGTGTCTTTTCCTGAGAGGTTTTTGAGATTTCGTTCATTTCTTGGCCTTTGGTTTTGTCATTCTGGTCATGTGGATCAGAAAGTTGCTGCTCCTGATTCTGATCGCCGGGGTAGAGGTGCTCTGGTCTGCAGTGCTTTCTTACAGATGTTCCTGGAAAGATCTGAGAGGAGTGGGTGCCTTCTACATGTTGACTGAGGGATTTCTGACTGGAGAAGGCCAGAGAGCATGATGGACATGGATGATTCTCTGGCTTTGGATCTGCCAAGAGAGGAAGTGTTCAGTCAGAACAGATATAAACAATGCTGTCTGGGCCATCTACTTTGTAGTGTGGTTAAAGCCTGCTCCACTGATCATTCTTGGGTGTGTTAACAAGGCAGACGCTCTCCCACCATGGGTCCGATGGATCTTTCCAGTCCATTTTTCCTACTATTTTTATTTACTAGGACAATACTTTTTTTGTTTTTTATATTTTGATGACACAGATTCTAACTCTGACTCACTGTATAGAGTGCTGTGCATCATAGCTCACAGCAATCTCGACCTTTTGGGCTCAAGCAATCCTCTTGCCACAGCCTCCCAAGTACCATGTTTCCCCGAAAATAAGACCTACCCAAAAAATAAGCCTTAGCAAGATTTCTATGTATTTGTTAAATATAAACCCTACCCTGATAATAAAACCTAGTGATGGGCATGGCTATGCAGCATATCTGCATAGGCATGCCATGCATTTCAGCACAGAGAGGAAGGCATCCGCTGAAAATAAGCCCTAGTGTGTCTTCTTGAGAAAAAATAAATATAAGACCGTGTCTTATTTTCAGGGAAACACAGTAGCTGGGACTACAGGTGCCTGCCACAACACCAAAATTTTTAGAGACGGGGTCTCACTCTAGCTCAAGCTGGTCTCAAACTCCTAGGCTCAGGTAATCCGCCTGCCTCAGGCTCCCAGAATACTAGGATTACAGGCATGAGCCACTGCAGTAATACATCCCTAAAAATTGAGAAAACCCACATCATGTGCCTTCTCTACATGTCAGCCAGGTCACGACCCTCCAGTAGCGTCACAGGCAGATTGGCTCCTTACATAGATGGAGTTGCAGTGACTTTTCCTCCATACACTACAAACATCTTCACAGTCATTTCATACCTTCCTTGACACTCCCGCCCCCACCCACCACAGGGCTTCCTGTCCTCACATTGATCCCTAGATCCTTCACAGTGTGTGAAACCATTTCATTGTAATGAGAAATGACACACTTAATGACCTAGGAGGGATCATCTTTAACGACTTTTCCTATGAGAGGCAAGGGGTCTGTGAAGTTAGGAGCCAGCAGCCTGGAGACCCATGGATGTGGAAGGCAGCACTGGGTTGTGGCTAAAGAGAGTTTGTGTGAATGAGTCTGAATGTGAGTCTCCCTGTTTAAAAAGACATATTTGACTGAGGACTCTTATGTGCCTGACTCTCCACTAGGAAGTGGGATTCAAGTTGGACCATACAGAGTCATCCAGGTCCCACTGACCAAAAGGCTCTGGGTCTTGCTGCCCCAACAAGGTCATGGATTGCCACAAATCACAAAATAAAAACACATCCTTCCTCAGCCCACATAGCAAGTGTTCATGCTTGACTTAATGTCATTCCTTCTTAGCCCATTTCAAACACAGTAGGAAGCCCTCTTTAACAGGTATCCTTAATCACACTTCTTACCTCCTGGACCTCCACCTTAATTTCTCTCACCTGGAGACTGAGAAGCCTCTGAGAGGATCACTCATTGCAGTCTATTGTCTGAAAATTAACCACAGCATCATCTCATAGTGGAGTACCCAGCAGAGAACTGAAAGCTCCACTGCTGTTACCGTCCCACTCTGGAAAACCCCAGTGTCTTGGCATGAGTCACAGGCCCTGTGTTTCCAGGCTTCTCTGTGTCTCTCCCACTTGTGCTCTTACCCTGTCTGGTTCCTTCACCTGAGTGCTCTCTGACACCCTAACTCTTCCCTGCCCCAGGGCCATTGCACCAACTTCAGCCTTTGCCCCAAATACTTTTCCTGCTGCTGTCTGCACCTCTCAAATACCACCCCCGATTGGAACCTTCCCTGACTACCCTGTGATACTCCACCCTCTCCTCACACTCACACCTGGGCACCTTTCCTCCACCAGTGTTCTCCAAAGCACTGTACTGTTTCCTTGTTCTCGTGTTAGTGGCTAAGGAACAAAAATTCTGAGCATCTCCTTCAAGCTCCTTTCAGCTCTTGGAAAACTGTTACACAGCAGGAATTCACAGACAACTATTTGGGATACTGAGTAAATGAATAAAAATAGAAGCATATTGGGCGGCACCTGTGGCTCAAGGAGTAGGGCGCAGGCCCCATATGCTGCAGGTGGTGGGTTCAAACTCAGATCCAGCCAAAAATTGCAAAAAAAAAAAAAATGAAGCATATTACATAGAAATATTTAGGAACTTAAAAAGAATCAACTAAATGGGCAGATGAAACTACCTTGTTGAGAGAGCTGGTAGATGAGACAACTTGGTTTTTTCCTGCAAGGTTTTCAGCACTATCTGATGTTATAAAATTTGTGCCTAAAGTGATTAGAATATGAAATCAGAAGAAAAATCTAAACTATTAAAAGTTCTTCCTAGAATTCAAAGGCTCATGACCTGAATCTTTAATTTCCGAAGTACCTGACTGGAAATTTGACTGACTTTAGACTATGTTTTACTCTACTTAGGAATTGAGCTAGACTTGGAACAGTGGCTCATGCCTGTAGTCCCATCACATTGGGAGGCTGAATAAGAAGGATCATTTGAGGCCAAGAGTTGAAGGGGGCAGTGAGCTATGACTTTGCCACAGCACTCCAGCCTGGGTAACAAAGTGGGGTCTTTTCTCTAAAAAATAAAATAAAATAGAAATAAATGAAAATAAAAATACAGTACAAGAAGAGCTGAACCATGAGAATTCCCAAGGAGAAGCATCCTTCCCTTTCTGTCCTAGGGAATCATTGTGGTACCCACCCTGACCTGTGAGTTCTTTCTTCCGCTTGCTGGTCCACATAATGCCCAGTTTCTTGCCATACTCGGTCCCATACCAGACCAGCAGTTCACAGCCTGGCCTGATGACCCGGCAGGTCCGATAGAAGATCTGGCTGTGGTATTGGAAGGCCACCAGGTTCTGCTCCTCGTCATCCCGGGCACAGTTCACATACCTGCATTGAGCATAAGAGGAAAAGAAGGCGGGCAGTGAGTTCCCATCACTTGTCAGGCTCGCATCTAGCTTGTCCCCTGGTGGTTAAGGTCTCTGCACTCCAGTGCTGCACACTTCCTACTGCTGCCCAGACCACCCTCTGCCCTCACCTGAGTCTTTTCAGTGTTCCATGAATTCCTGCCCCTAGGTTCTGCTCACAGGGCCCTTCCTGCCTGGAATACTCCCCCTGCCACCTCTTTGACCATCTTTCAAAGCCCAGTTCCAGACTTTCCTCCACCTCCATTGGCCATAGGACAAGGTGTCCTCTAGCTTCTCCAAACCCTATGCTAATTACACTACAGCACCTGCTGCTTGCTCATGTGCTCTGCTTCTAGATTAGCACACACTGTTCTACACTCAGCCCAAGGCGGCTTTGTCATGGTGAGAGGCTACCCCCAGTCTGTCCACAGTTTACCCAGATTCCAATAGAAACGTAGAGGACTGTCCTAGCGGAATAGCACAGAATAATATTTGTTTATTAATATTCTGTGTCCCCTCATAATGTGAGAGCCCCTCATGGACAGGGGCTGGACCTCGTAGCACAGATGCCCAGGACTGTCCTGCAGCTCACGGCCTGGGCTACAGGGTCCGGTTTTAATTTCACTGAAGACAAGAAGATTTCCTGTCCTAACAGATGAAAGTTCCTTTGTTTTATGCTGTCTTGGCATGGTGTCCATCTTGGGAAATAGGAGAACTATGGTCAAATATTCCCATAATTAAATGTTTCGTGTCTGTCTGCAGTACATGCCCCACAACGACATGGGTTGTGTGATCTGTTCAAGTAATGAGCTTCATTTCTCAAACTGGGACACATTAAGTGCATAATTAATGTGGATTAGATAAAATAAAATGTGAATTCAGTGTCCCCGATGAATCTAGGCTCTTCAACCTTTATCCCGCTGCCACAATTTTCTGTATCCTAGAGATTTATATTTTGATAAAACTAGTAGCATTCATATTTTTGTTTCTTTTTCTAAACGTGTGTGATGTTAGAGAGCATTGTACAGAAAAAAAATGGAGGGAGAGAATACAAAAGCCACTGAAGGATGTGTGATGAAAAGGAAAGGAAATTGGGCTTGTGAGAGACAAACACCCTCTCTGGAACCACAAAACCACTGTCCTTACCTCATCCAGTTGCCCTGAGATTGATCCTTCCCATCCACATACTCATAGCAGTTTCTCCCCTTTGTGATCTGAGTTTCAATAAAAGAAGTTAAAAGCTATTTAGAGGGTAGTAATCAGAAGACTTATTTTTCTGTCCTGTCATGAGAGCCCTGGGAGACTGTGTGGACTCAGCTGCCAGCCTTAGGTGTCAGCTCCATGTCTGAGTCCTACTGTCCCGCTGGAGCACAGGTCCACAGGGAATATGTGCCTATTTGTGTCATTGTGGTTCCACATACTCTCTGATCTTTAATTTGGAGTTCCCTGTCCATGCAGAGACCACTGGAAACACAGAGCCAACTGTGTTATTTCTGTGCATGTCCTCCCAGGTAGAGGGTGACTTCCAACCAAAGGCACACAAGGGTCGTGGAAAGCCAGAATAGGGGAAAGGGTAGGCACTTCTCACCTTCCAGGCGTATCCACTTCTGGCTGCCTCTTCATCTTCTAAGACCTGGCCCTCATAAGGGCCAAAGTGCAGCCCCAGTGGCAGCTCACATGCCTCATTCCATACTCCATCTCCAGCCTGAGGGATGCCCGATTGTCTAATACTCAGCCCAGGGGGCAGGGTCAGGGCTGCGCGGTTGGGATGCCCCTTATCCACTGCAATGTCCTTTACAAATGTAGGGGGCCCATGAACATCACAGCGGTCAATGAAGTAGTCCTGACACATCTCACAATCTGGAGGGGAGAGTGGCAGCATTAAGGAGAGGTGTAGGGTGGGTTCTTGACATAAAGTGCTTAAGAGGGAACCCAGTGCTCACATCATTTAGCCTCACTCCTGTACTCCACATCAGCAGAGTTAAGGCAAGTTTTGGGGGCCAAAAGATGAGGTGAAATTGTTGTACAAGGACATAGCAGCCTTATGTGTGAGGAGGGCAAAGGGTCACTCACTTACAGAGATAGTCATCATTCTGAGGCTCGCTGACCTCTTCGTATGAACGGTCCGTTCTTTCTCTCAGGTTATAGCTCCTCGCTTCAATCTCCTTTCTCCTGAGAGCTAAATTGGGGAAGAGTGAGTGAAGGTGGGAGTCTGGGGTGTCCATCCCTGTTCATTAGAAAATGTGCACTCTCCTACCATTAAAGTATCACTTATTCTTCTATAGACTCTGGTCCCAACCCCCAACCCCCAACTACTGGTTCACGATCAAAGAGAATAAGACTCCACACCCACACTGAATACAGATGCCTAATTCACTTTCACTTTTTGGTTGTTCCCATTATCCCATTCACCTCCCAAATTTCTTTCTTATGACACAGTTCATTCATGCATTCATTCATTCACAAAAGATTTCTTCAAGGCACACTACATGATAGTCGTTATCATGGGCACTAAGAAGGCATGGTCTCCTTTATCACAGATCGATTTCCTAGACACCTTGCATGTATCGCTTCTTTTCTATTTGATGTCATGCTTTTACACAATCCATGAGGTTTGTATCCTTACCTTCATTTTACAGATGAGCATTCAGGAGGTCAGAAAAGTTAGAACATTCTCCCAGGGCCCCAGTTTTCCTATGTGGATTATAACCCAAGTGTGTGACTTCAATGTGAAAGTTGTTACATGCTATTCAGTACTGCATCCAACTTCTGGTCTCACAGCTTAGTCCAGCTTAAGCCCAAGCTTATCTAAAGTTAACCCCATGTATCTAGACCATACTCATCAACCTTCTAAAGCATCTAGAGAGACTAAAGTCCTCCAATTATTTTCCCTTACCTGACTTTCGTCTAGAGTTCTGTCCAGAGGCATTTGCTTCTCCAGGAAGAGACACACAATTCTGGTGCTGCTCGGAGTCACTAATGTTCAGTGAATTTGCTGGCCCTGACAAGTCCTGCAGAATAGAGTCGTGACTTAATGGTGCCCTGGGCATTCCCTTTCATGTGAGAATCACATATTGAAAGACAACATGCGTTGCATTTCTTTAGTTCTTTAGGGCTTGCAGTGTGTTTTCACATATAAGACTTGAGTTAATGCTTCAATACCAATTAGAAATGGCCAGATATGTTGGCTCATGCCTGTAATCCTAGCACTCTGGGAGGCCAAGGCAGGTGGATTGCCTGAACTCAGAAGTTCCAGACCAGCCTGGGCAAGAGTGAGACTCTGTTTCTACTAAAAATAGAAAAACTATCAAGGTGTAGTGGTACGTACCTATTGCCCCTGCTACTCAGGAGGCAGAGGCAACAGGATAACTGGAGCCCAGGAGTTTGAGGTTGCTGTGAGTTATGACACCACAATATTGCATCCAGCGTCATTCTGTGAGAGTCTGTCTCCAAAACCCAAACTAAATGTATACGTAAATAAATAAATAAATAAACAATAGCACTTAGAAATGCCTGGGATTCTGAATCTTAGAGGAAATAGGGAGAGCCTAAGTGGGCAGCAATCCCAGGACTAGAGCCCATGTCTTATGGCTCTGTCCCTTCAACTTTCTCTCAAACTGTAGTGTACAAGTGAAGTCAGAAGAGGGAGGATGCTTGGGAAGACTAGCTGGAGAACCAACAGGTCCTTGCAGGAATAGGTAAAGGTTGATGGAGGAAAAAGTGGGTCTTCTATATGCTAGTGAGCATTTGATGGAAGGAGAAAGGAAAGCCCAACGGGACAAAACACATCTGGAAAATGAAGCAAGAGGGCAGTGAGGTTGGGAAGAGATGAAGAAATGCTTAGCAAAAGTATCTCTAGACAACTAAGAAAGAGATGCTACAAGTTGCAAATTGCCATGTCCTGGAAACAATACTTGACTTTGGGATTAGATTAGTTGGTTTCTATTCCAATTCTGCTTGAAATAGGTTGTGCCACCAGCTAATTCTCTTCAGTTTCCTGATCTATAAATTGCCATATGTACTAATTTTTAGTGTCATAGTGAACATCAAACGTAATAATGTTAGCCAAAGTGTTTTGTGAGCTATTTCATAGTATACATGTCAGAGTCATAATTTCTGTCATGGTCTGGATACCAATTTCCCTTCTCAATCATTTCTCCAGTTTCAATGTAACTCAAAAATAGTATCTGCACCATTCTTTGATCCTATTAGTTGTTCCTTAATTTGTATGTTTGGAATCACTCATTCAGAAAGCACTCAAGGGATGCTCATAGCGCTCACCATGCAAAGGCAGCAGGTTGAAACAAGTGATTCCAGACAGCACGAGAGTGGCCTAAATAGTGCATGGAGGAAGGAACCATGATTTCCTCCTACAGGAATAACTATTTGGAATGAGCTCCAGAAGGATATATTTCTCCTGAATGGTGTATTACCTATATAAAGTCCTAAGTTATTTTATTTGTTGTTTGTTCAGTCTTCAAAGCTGAAGCTCCTCGGGGCTGGAACTTGGTTGCTTTATCAGAATGAGTCCCTTAAGAGAGGAGCGACCCTTGTCATCTGGGACAATCCTCAGTACACCCTGTCTGTATATGTGTGTCCTTCCCTTGATCAGAGCGTCTTCCTGCATCTCTCACTTGACCATAACCTCAGGGAAAACTGAGGTTGGAAACTCAGTCAGATGAATGACAGGAATAAGACAGAATACACTTTGTAAAACGAGAACCTTTTAATTAGCTTCTAAGTGCTTTAGGGAAGTTTTGGATTAGACTGCAGAAATCCTAAATATGATCTCAGGCAGATAACTGAATATTTTTGTACCACAGCTTCCTCATCCATAGTTTTATAGTTTTAGTGCCCACTTCACAGGATTGTTGATAGGTTTCAGTGAATTTCAAGTGAAATGCTTAAAATAACTCTAAAATATTTCAAAAACCAAACATTGATAGCAATTCTTGCTACCATTCTTATTAACTCTTAAAACGATGATGATGATGTGAGACACTGCGCTAAAGAGACCAGGAAAGGAAGGGAGCAGTTGCAGGACACTCTGTGCATTCTCCTTCTCTTACCTGTGAGAAGACTTTCTTGTCAGTAGGGTTTGGAAGACACTCACCTTCTGGCGTTTCCTCGGTTGCATTCTGAAGGCCATCAAAGAGTGTTTGCCTAAAAGTTGATGGGAAATTATAGGTTTGGTTGGTAAATGTTTCCAGACTCTGGAGATTCTCATGAGAAACAGGGGTTTCTGAACTAGAGAGTGATAATTCCAAGTATTACCCAAGGGTGGTGTGAAAATGTTTTCTGAAATCTCCTTAAGGCCTATGCTTCTCTTGGTGACATTGCTTGTTTTCATAAAATGTTTCTTTTAAAATAGGCAACACTCCATCTCTGCTTCACCCTTTGTTCACAAGGAAGGTATCTATAATTTTTATTGAAAAATAATCAATTGACTTGAGCAAGGTGGAGTGGCATGCATCTGAAATCCCAGCTACTCCAGAGGCTAAAGTGGGAGGATTACTTGCATCCAGGAGTGTGAGAATAGCTTGAGAACATAACAAGACCCTATCATTAGAAACATAAAAATAGATATAATAAATTGACTGGCTTTACATGACAAATACCCTAAACATACTATGAATAGAAGGAAATTACCAGTGAGGTTCAGTGGCTCATGCCAGCAATTCTAATACTCTGGGAGGCCAAGGCAGCTTCGTTGCCTGAGATTATAATTTCTAGAACAGCTTGAGCAAGAGCTATACCCCATCTCTACTAAAAGTAGAGAAAACTAGCTGGTCATTGTGGTGGGTGCCTGTGGTCCCAGCAACTCAGGAGGCTAAGGCAGGATTATCTCTTGTGACCAAGAATTTGATGTTGTGGTGAGCTATGGCACAGCAGCACATTACCCAGGCTGACTGAGACTCTCTCTCAGAAAAAAAAAAAAAAAGAAAAAGAAAGGAAGGAAATGACCTCATTATAAAAAAGGTCATATAGATGAAACCCACATCTAATATCATACTTACTGGGAAAATTTAAAAGCCTTTATTGCTAAAATCATAAACAAGGTAAAGATTTCCTCTCTTGTGGCTTTAATTCAACATAATACTGGAAGTCCTTGCCAGAGGAATTAGGCAAAAGAAGAAGGAAGAAGCAACCAAATTGGAAAGGAAGAAGGACATTTACCTCTGTTTGTAAAACTACATAATCTTCTACATAGAAAACCAGAAAGAGTCCACAAAAAGACTCTTAGAACTAATAGAACTTAGTAGGCTTACAGAATGCATCAGTTGTGTTCTTATACACTAACAATGAACAATGCCAAAAAGAAATAAAAAAAAAAAAATCCCATCTACAATACTATGAAAAAGAACAAAATACTTAGGGATAAACTTAACCAAGGAGGCAAAATACTCGAACACTGAATACTACACAACACTTGTGAAATAAACTAAAGGCACAAATAAATGGAACATCATCCTGTATTCATCAGTTGTGAGACTGAATGTTGTTAAAAGTTCACACTATCAAAATGATTTAAAGGTTCCATGCCTTCCCTAGCAAAATGCCAATGACATTTATAATAGAAATAAAAAAATTCCAAAAACTTATACAAGCATCAAGAAATCCAAATAGCCAAAACAATCTTGACAATTAACCAAGTTGAAAGCCTTACACTTCTTGATTTCAAAACATATGATGTCTGACAATTAATTCTGTGGACTCTTCCTAGAAAAAATGCTACATGCCTCATTTTTTTGCTGAATACTGCTGTGGTCACCTTCAAGCACTCCCCTTGGGAAGCTGCACATATGCACTGATGTCAGTGCCTAATCCACCTTCCAAGGCAATTTGGGAACTCTTTTTCTCGAACGGGCATTGACTCCATCATCCTATTACCCTTGATGTCATTAAAATATCTTCCTTTCAACACTTTATCTTCAGGTAAGAAAAAAGTCATTTGGGGCCAGAACAGGTGAGAAAGGAAGGTGTTCTAGTATATTTATTTGGTTACTAGATATAAGTTCCCTCACAGACAGTGCTAGGTGAGCTGGTGCATTGTTGTGACGCAAGAGTCATGAGCTGTTGGCCAAGATTTTCAGTGAAGAGTTTCCTAACAGGCTTTCTGTTGTTACTTACTTGGTCTGCTATGCTTCTTGTGTCCAGCTGACAAGTGTGATGAATAATTTGACAAAATCTTGCAATGCTTTTCTGGCCATCCTGAACTCTCTTCATCAGTCATGATTTCTCTCCCATCAGAAAAACATTGAATTTATTTATACACTGCCATTTTTAATGGCATCATCCCCATAAACTTGGGCTAACATGTCCTTGATTTCACTTCCACTTTTTCCAAATTCAACAAGAAATTTAAAAATGTTTGTTCATTGCTCTAATTCAAACTCTGACATTCTCACGACAGCACACAAAAACATGCAGGTCACCAGTACATGTCGACACAATCAAAACTGTGAGACAATGATATACCAAGGTTATGAAACCTTACTGAGTTGTTTCCACAGTGCTGCCAGTGTAAGTGCACAGTAGTAGGTTCATGAACTTAGTTCTCAAACCTTGTGATCTTAGCACTCTGGGAGGCTGAGGTGGGTAGATTGCATGAGCTCAGGAGTTAAAGACCAGCCTGGGCAAGAGCAAGACCCTGTTTCTGATAAAAATAGAAAAACTAGCCAGGAGTCCTGTTGTATGCCTGTAGTCCCAGCTACACAGGAGGCTGAGGCAAGAGGATTGCTTGAGCCCAACAGTTTGAGATTGCTGGTGTCATGGCGTATGCTCAAGAGTATGAGGTTGCTGTAAGTTATAACACCAGGGCACTCTACCCAGGGCAACAGTGTGATAATTTTTCTCTCTCACACAGAAAAAAAAAAAAAAAAGAAAAAGAAAAAGAAAGATATAAAGATATTTAGCTATGGGAATGAAAACAGTACTCTTGCACGTCAACACAAATCTAGAGACCAATGAAATGGAGTAGAGAAGTCAGAAATTAACCCTTGCATAGGGTCCAATGATCTTTGCCAAGGATTCCAAACCACACAAT